CTGGAGCCTCCCCTCCTCCCGCTCACCCTGTGGGGCAGCACAGGAGGGGTTTTGCCGGTGGGGAGCAGGTTATTTTTGGCTTTTTTTTTTTTTTTTTCTTCTTGCTCCTCTTTAGAAATTAAGGACTCGACAGCAGCTGTTCCTCTGCTTTTGGGTTTGCTTTGTGTCGGTTTTTGCAATGAATGCTTTGCAGATTTGGCTTATCAGGCTCGTCAGGCTGCTCCCAGCCCGCCACTCTCCTCCCCGGCCCTATTTACCCAGAGCCCTGGCTGACGCAGGGCCCTTTCCTGTGTTTGTCACCACCCACCCCAAGGTCCTCCGGTGATAACTTTTCACTTAAGATTAAGGATTTGGGTCTTTTCAAAAGAGTCTTTAACCTGCAGCCCTCTGAAATGTGTCACTGCATAGAAAAAACAAATTTAAACCTTTAAACATGCTGCTTAAGGTCGACACAGAAGTGGCTTTTCTGCTTTGTAATTACGCCCATAAGCGACCTAAAGGTGAAAAGGTGCTGCTTGGGGGCCTGATCCCACCAGAAAGGCTTGAAACAGGGACTCAGATGGTACAAAATCCCGAGGACTGGCTGGTTTTAGCTGGCTTTAATGATCTCGATTCTGCTGATTCCACTGGAGTCGTGTAGCTCTGCTGCTGCTGCGAAGCATCTGCCCCCAAACTTCCAGCTGCCGGTGGATGGCTCAGACACTTGTGCTTCAAAACAGCGTTTGCATCTGAATAACCCAGAAGGGACTCGAACCCCTTTCAGGCTGTGCAGGGAGGTCTTAAAGCAGGAGGGTTGTTTTTTTTTAATCTGTCTAAATTAGACCCCGGATTTACAAGAAGCCCTTGAACCCCGGGGCGTTTGTCAGCCCTCCGACGTGTCCTTAAAATGATAATGAAAGCGATTTTGGCTTTGATGGAAAGGTGGTAGGGCTGGGGCTGGAGGAAACATGCTGTTGTGACTTTTAAAGGTGGGAGGGGGTTCATATTTTGAAGTCCAAGAAGAAAGAAATGCAAGGGAAGACAGACAGGTACTTCTCTGCCCTGTAACAGCGATGAAGCATTAATTCATCCCCCTGGAATTTCTTGTTTGTGTGCTCCCATAATTTCATTTCTTTGGTGTCTGTATGAAGCTCGAGATAGTTGAATGCCAGGAGCCAAATACTCCTCGACTAATATCTTTTTATTAGATTTCGTGTGTGTGTGTGTGTGCCCACGTGTGAGAGAGAGAGATCACCCTTCATAACCCACTCGGTGCCCTGGGAGGCTGAGCCACGCTCCGAAGGAATCTTCCCAGCAGCACATTCCCAACTCTGACCCCCGCTGCAGGGAGTTTTAGGACCTGTGTGCAGCTTTTGGTGGGGTTTACAGGTGTCTTGTGGGATGTTGGTGCTGGTGCTGGAAGCCTTCAGGGGTTGTTACAGCTTGGGAAAGTGGGGAGCAAAGTGTTTCCCACCCCCCAAAAAAAAAAATGTCATAGGGCTGGTGGAGCTGGGAGGTGGCACAGGGATGTTTCTAAAAGGGAGCTGCCTCGGCCACCTGCTCCCAGGTCTGAAGGGCAGCCTGGATTTGGTAAAACCCAGTCTTTGCCCCATTAAAAAAGGCAGTTTGGATTTGAGCAACGCCCATCCTTTGCCCCGGGCACCTGCGGAGGGGAGGATGCCAAAGAATCCCCTGAATCTTCGGTGTGGGTGTGCTCAGGGGGGATTCTGGATGGGTCACACCTGATCAGGGGTCACCTGATTCTGCAGGTCATACCTGTGGGCTCAACACAGGTATTTAGGGTTGTTGGTTTTGTTTTTTTTTTTGGATGGGCATTTTTTGAGGGGCGTTTTTTTGCATGGCCACAGCAAACCCTTCGCCAGCCCAGCGGAGAGGGCAGAGCTCCGGCTTGGCCGGGACTTCCCGGGCCCTCCTGAGCCGCGTTCGGGGCGAGGAGAAGAGCGAAGGCTCACTGCCACCTCTAGGCAAGCACCAGCATCGGCGCCCGCTCTAAACTAGAGCACAGACAGACAATCCTGGGATTTGTCCCAAATCGCCGCAGTCTCTGTGCCAGACCCCGCTATCAGCTGGTGTGTGTGTGTGTGTGTGTGTGTGTGTGTGTGTGTGTGTGTGTGTG